ACACACAAGGACAAAAACAAGAATCAACACTCGTTCTTTCACGGTCTCCCTGTGAAACTACAACAAAGATCTGGAGGTTTGCTGTTACATTGGAGAGATGGGGCTGCAGACCAGGTACTCCAGGTTGTTGCAGCATCCACGGGTGAAAGGGTTAACTCCGCCCTGGAACTTCCCCGTCACCTGACAACCAGGACAAGGTCACAGTTATAATATGAGGAAACATTTCCTGTCTTTTTAGAGCTACCGTACACAGTGGAGCCCCCTGGATACGAGTTTAATCCACAACAGCACTCGTGTCTCGATCGAATTTCCCCCAAAATATCCCAAAAAACAATTAATTCATTCCAGCCCCCTCCCAAAAAACAATTCATTCATTCCAGCCCCCCTAGAAATATTATTAATAATTAAACATCAAAAACACAGATATAAACAAATATATTGGTAATATAAAATAATAATAATTAATAAAACATTTTATATTATTGTTAATGGTAAAATAACCCAGAGAGAAAAAGTCAGTGTCAGGGCCACTAAGGCAGGAGATACATATATATATATATATGTATCTATATGTTTATGTATCTGTATCTGTCTATATATATGTATATATATATGTGTGTGTGTAATTATATATATTTTATATATTTATATATATATTTTATATTTTTATATATATATATATTTTATATTTTTATATTTAGTTATATATATTTTTTTAATTTATTTATTAAAGACTAAAAGTTAGTGACGAACTCCGCAGCTGCTTTGGCGTCAGAGCTCGCGGCTTCCCCATGCCGTACGACTGATTGGATACCACTCCTTGGTTGAGGACTCGTATCTAGATATTTTCTCGTATCACGAGAAAAATCTTGCAATAGTTGCAGACTCGTAACATGGAACACTGGTATTGCGAGAAGCTGGTATCTCGGGGGTCCCCTGTATTCTCCGTGAATACCTGTTCATTTGTGGTGCGCCCCCTGGACACCAGGTACAGATGGAACCCAGTCAGACCCAGGACAGGGATCAGGAATAATCCTGAGATACTGATCACGACCAAACTGAAGACTCCGATCAGGAAGAACAAAACCAAAAACACTGCGGCAGCTAGCTAGCTATGACCTGAGGGAGGATACGTGACAGTGCAGTGCAGCTTCCACAGTTGGTCCATGTGGTTCAGGACGTATATGAGGCCGAATGTGAAGACGAGGACCATGTGACACGTCAGCGACAACAGGAACAGGAAGAAGTAGCGGTAGTTACGCCTCCCGATGCAGTTGTTCACCCAGGGACAGTGGTGGTCAAAGTCCTGGGAAAAGATGGTGGAGGAAAATAATCCCAGAAATTACCACACGTTTTCACCTATTTAACACCTTTATTGTCTCAGAGTGGTCCCCTAGTGGTCTTAAACTTAAACTTAAACTTAAACTTGTCTTTATTTATCATTTGTGACATAGCACAGCACACCATGCACAATGAAATTTAACCTCTGCATTTAACCCATCACCAAGTGAACAGTGGGCAGCCATGGTCGGCGC